CCCAAGCAGTGGACCAACTTCCACGCGAAGGTCACCGACGCCAAGGACAACGACGACCTCGCGGAATGCTGGGATGCGCTGATCCGGGGAGTCGAGCACGAGCTGCTGAACATGCACGACCTGGCTGCCAAGAGCAGGCGCGGGTACACAGGGAGAGCTGGACCACGCGAGGTGGTCTGCCACAAAGTTCGAGCTGCTCCCCAGATACAGCTGCCTCGTGCGGACGTGGATGACGGGCCCCCAGGACACATACATAAATACACACAAATAAACAGGTTCTCCATATTTTCCCATATGTTCTGGGTTTCTGTCTTCCCCCCCACTGCCCATATTTTCCTAGATGTTCTGGGGAATCGGCGATGAATTGTGTCTGCGTTTTTTTTCCTCCTCCTGAGTGGAGTCATCGACATGGTGTGCTGCTGGCAGGCAGCGCAAGAGTAGGGCAGAGCGCGCCCGTGCGGGCGTGCGCCTGGGCCCCCCTGCAAGGGCGAGGCGGGCGAGGCCATGGCCTCGCACGAGACATTGCGCGCGTCGGGCGCCCACTCATTGAGCAGGGCCCGACCGTCCCGGCATTCCTATAGTCCTGCCACGACATGCTCTTAGAACCCCCAAATGTTCAAGTAACAACAACAATGCTCTTAGAACACAAGCCCGATGTGTTACATCAAGACAATATCAACCAGAAATGTTCTAAGAACATGTCGAGGAAACCACGAAAGGTTCTTAGAATATTGTTTGGTAGGGCTATAGGGGAGCCAGGACGCGTCGCTACTGCCTGAACTCAGAAAGATGCGTACTTGGGAAAATTCTGCTGGTCCAAACTGCTCCCACTCCTCTGTGGTAGCCGGCTGTAGCCAGGTGGTGGCTTCGGGGTCGTGCTGCATCTTCGGCGTCCGGCGCTGGGGGCGGAGAGATGGAGAGTCGGATGCCGAATGTTGGTAATCAGGCTGAGCTGCTCGACGCTGGAGGTCGATTGGTGGAGGTGGAGGTGGAGCGTCGGATGCTGAAGGTTAGAGGTCGGAATGCTAGGCTGGTGGGCGCTGAAGGTCGAGAGGTGGAGGTGGAAGCGGAAAGTCGGATGCTAGAGGTCGGAGGTCGGAACGCTGAGCTCGTGGACGCTGAAGGCCGAAGAGAGTCGGATGCTAGCGGTTGGAGGTCGGAGTGCTGAGCTGGTCGACGCTGGAGGCCGATCGGTGAAAGTGCAGGTGGAGAGTCGGCTGTTACGGTTTCGCGGGGATGTCAGGAGTGGAGAGCATGACGAATTTTGTCTCCAGTGTCGGCCAAATTGCGTCGTCGGTCGCCAGTTTGAGCCAATCGGTGTCCACATCGCAGCTGCTCTGGGCGGGTCGTTCCTGCACGCCATGGGATACAAGAAAATCGCGCACGTCATCGTCCCATCGCTTCTGCTGGCAGGTGGGCTCGCCAAATCAGGAGGGTGAACGCGGCCCTCACCACGAAGCTCAGCCAGGAGGGCCCCGAGCAGGACAGGATGCTGATGAGGGTCGCCAAGCTATCGCAAGAGGCTTGCGCCTCTCTCGCGGACATCCAGAGGCATCAGAAGCTTCTGGAGCAGCTCGAGCTGCTCTTCTCTCGGGATGCGAGGTCTTGGGAAACCCAGGGGTCGACGACCTGGTTCAGATGGTTGTAGACAAGGCCGAGCCCCAGCAGGCCAGATGCTTAGCCTCCAGAGATGCCTCCTGTAAGGCCTGGGTCAGGGACAGTTGCCTCGGAGATGCCAGAGCTGCCCACCGCGTTGCCCGTGCTAGAGGCATCCAGGAGGCCGTAGAGGCCAACAACGCGGCTAAATCTCGTGAGCTTGCGGAGGGGGCCGTGACGGGTGGGCCCAGATATAGGCCGTCTACGGGCGCACCGACCTCCCTCTGCCGGCTGGCACTGGCAGCTGGGCAATCCTGCCCAGCATCAGTGCCCTGCCAGAACTACTGTGGGAGATTGCAGGCTTCACCCACGATCGATACGGTGCTGTCCGACGAGGCGCTGGAAGCGATCTCGGCCATGTGTGCGAGCTGCGAGAGGGTCTCTGCCTGGCCGATGAGCAGGCTGTTCAGCCGCCCAGCAAGGTGAGGATCCAAGCCAGGCCTCTAAAGCGTTGTCCGCGACTAAGGAGCGCTGTAGACATGTCGCACCGATTGGATTGCTGCTCCAGCCCAACAAATCAGGAGCTATTGCGAAGAGCGCTGCAGCCTTCAATCATGTAGAGACTTCGGCGCGCATACTAGGTTTTCGTCGAAGGCAGCGCATGCATGAGCTAGGGCATGACATTTCCAGTAGGAAGGTCCTCAGGCCCATGGAGGCTGAGCGCAGAAACAGATTGCAAGATAAGAAGCGCCGACTGCTGGCTCTCAAGCGGTCGGCAGGAGGAGGAGGAGGAGGAGGAGGTTGCTGGGCTCTGGCGGACTGAGGCAATGCCTGGCGGGGGCCACGGGGGGCGGGCGTCTCGGGGAGTGCCGGTTCTGCCTCGAAGGGCTTCACCCCCTCGCCCTCCTCCTCCTCCTCCTCCTCCTCCTCCTCTTCCTCCTCCCTCCTCCTCCTCTCCCTCCCTCCTCACCCTCCTCCCTCCTCCCCCTCCTCCTCCTCCTCCTCCTCCTCCTCCTCCTCCTCCTCCTGCTCCGCCTTCGGAGACACGGCAGGCCTCTGGTCCAGTAGGTTGGCGGCCGCCCACGCGCACGTCACGCCCTAAGTGTGCACGCACAAGTTCCATCATGCGACCCAATAGTAGACGCCAATGCCGCTCGTGTTTCGTGATTGCCGACCCGCGCAAGGCGTGGGAGGCGGCGAACGCAAGGACCTCTCAGTGCAACCATGCGTTCTTTGATGCGGATTGGGTGGTCGCTTGCCAGCCCGCACCGCACCCGCACAGATGAAAGTTAGGTCATCTCCCGCTGTTGCATTTGCCCATGCGGTGTGCACACGATGCCGCGAAAAGGCATCCATCAAACCCAGTGCGTTCAGGTTGTGTCGAGTATCTCCGTGGCCTGCGGTCAGGAGGTGATCTGGAGCAGAGCCCTCATATTATGAGTCAAATTATGAGTTCAGCGCATCAAAGATCCAGTTAGGCAAGCCTGTTCCCGTTCGCTCCTAGGCGGGTCGATGTGGCCACCTGCCAGAAAGTTGGCGTAAGGATGCTCAAACTCGGACCAGTGTGATGTGTGTACGGCTGCTTCTTGCACGTTCTGGCATCAATTCTACGAGTGCGAGGCGTTGTGGCAAGTTGACGATGACCCTCGTGTAGCCTCAGTCCTCCCCGATAAGGTCGTTGAGCACAAACAGTGGCTGAAATAAGACAGAGCCTACGGCATTCCTCTCGACGTCGACTCCCTTGAGTTGGTCTATGGCCCCCCCTCTCTCCCTGTCAGACGCAAGACCTTCCCTCAGCCAAACCCCATTTTTGAATGGGGGCCGGTGTACCGAACGTGGGAATTTAAGTTGTATGCGGCCGGTTCTGGTGTAGCCAACGGATACCTGAGGTGACCAGATGTGGCTGGGCTGTTGTGGAACTTTCTCCTGGAGGATGGCATCTCAAGGATGTCTACGGGCCCGTGTCGGGGAAGTGCCACACGGTGCCCAGGGCCGAGAGCCAGGCCATCCTTGAGGCCCTGCGCATGTACCCCTGGGGGCCTGAGAGCGTGTCTGACCACTGGTCTGCGGTCAAAGGTGCGTCCTGGGACCCGAAGCTGTGCTCGGGGTCGGGCAGGCATGCATCGATCTGGCGAGAAGATTTTAGCATGTATTTCCAGAGGCCCGAGGGACCAAAACTTCGGTGGACTCCTGCGCATGGGGATGTGTGTAAGCTGCTTGGGAGCCAACATGATGGCACGTCTGACCTTGCGCAACAGGTCTTCGATTGTCTCAGGAATGCGTGGGCTGAGTCTTGTTTTCAGGCTCGGGGCTGACTCTCACGTTGTGCCAGACTTCAGTATCGCCGTAATGAAGCAGCAATTGCCGAATGCGTGTCGCACGATCGATTTTGTCAACAGAGCCTGGCAGCACGCTGCTGCCGAAGCTCCCGGTGTCGCTCACCTCAAGCAAGGATGCGGGGATCATGTCCCCAAACTCGCTTTGCTTTCTCACGATTTCGAGGCGGTGGAGGGTGGGAGGGGTGTGTTGCACGTGGTGCCACTGCTCGGCGAGAACCCGCCTCGGCAGGGCCAAGCTCGAGCAGCCCGGTGCCAGTTGCTGCCCGTCTCCGCTGCACCTGCACTTGCCGGCGGTCAGAGCATGGAGGCACAGTGGCGCCCTCCCCAGGGCGCGAAGTGCAGCCGTCCTCGCCGCGATGCTGGAGCTTGATTTGTTGTCAGGCGCAACACCTGAGGACAGCCCGACAGAGCCTCCAGACACGTTCGAGTACTGTGGACATATGGTCCAGGCAGCTGGACGATACCTGTTGTGCCGCCGCTGCGGCGCACGAGCTGCCATCGAAGCGCCTTGCTGGCGCCACTTTCTCAGGCCCTGCCGTGGGGACGTGGAGGGAGAGTTTATTGCAACTTCGTTGATGCGTATTGGGTTTATACTGGTCCTCCTCCTCCTCCTCCTCCTCCTCCTCCTCCTCCCTCCTGCTGAGGGGGAATGCTAGGGGCAGACCAGCTCAGGGAGGAACATCGAGCTGGAATCGGCGATGCATCGCCCGTGGGTCGGCGATAGGCCCCCGACAGCGAATCCGCACGTTCCTGGGCGGGGCGGGCTATCTGGCCCCTAACGCCGATGAATTGGCGATTGAGCGCCCGTGCATCCCCCCCCGGAGCCGATGCCCCCCTCACGTCGCCCCTGAGAAGAGAAACAACAGCGTGCGCACACCATGATCGGAGGTCCGCGCGGATGTCTCGACCCGGCGCTGCCCCCCCCCCCACCCCCCGGCGGCGCCTGCAGCGCCGCCCACGGCGCGCTCCGCGCGCCAGGGGGAAGGGGCCCAGCGCCGATCCAAGATGCCCCCACGGAGCTCCGAACGTGGCCCGGTGCCGTGCCGCCCTCTCTCCTCCTCGGGCCTCGAGGCCCACGTGGAAGCACGCGTAGCGCCCGAAGCCGTCCTCGTCGTGCCAGCGGTCGATGGCGAAGGCCGTGGACCTGCTGCCCCCCACGCTCAGGTACAGCTGCGTCCGGCCCCTCGCGTCCTGCCCCGTCGGCGGGTGGAGCTGGAAGCTCTGGCCCGGCAGCAGCTCCATGGGCCGCGCGTCCCCCTGGCAGCCCTCGAAGTGGAGCATCACAGGGTAGTCGAGCCTGGACTGGGCGACGTAGCGGGGGAAGATGCTGACGAGCTTGGTCAGGCGGAGGGGCGGGGGCGCCATGTGGACGCAGACGCCGAGGCTGACGCTGTTCAGCAGCAGCCCCTGGACCTTCGCGCGGTCGGACGCCGCGTGCGGGGCTGGGAAGGGCAGCTGGAACTCGTGGAGCTTGGTCATGTCCGCCAGGCCGTCGATGCTCTGCCCCTCTGGCAGCCTGGGCCGCGACTTCGCGGAGGCGGTCGTGGGGGACGTGGGGGACGCCGACGGCTCCTCGTCGCAGGGGGTGCCCGAGTAGAAGACGGCGACGTACGCCGAGTCTTTCTGCATCTGCGAGCGGGGCAGCGCCCTGCGGCAGTTTGGCTCCAGCAGGCACGAGGTGTCCTCGGGGAGGAGGGACAGCGTGAAGGGCGTCAAGTTCTCGACGAGCACCGGTGTGTAGATCCGCCACCGTGCTCTCGGTACGCTGGGGCTTGTCAGGATAACGTGTTGGCTGTCTGGCAGGGTCGATAATCCCAAGAACCTGTGTTAGCGCCAGCGCGTGCTTGTCCAACGAGGCCCTTCAATACGGCGCAGGCGGCGCAACGAGGGCCGACACAGGCAACGTGCTGTTCAGAACAACAGTTGTGGTGGCGATTGCTGCGGCTGCTAGAAGCGCAGCGTTCATACGCGAACGCCCCAAACTGCCCTAGGTGTCGCACCTACCGTCGATTTAGCGGCTTCCCGAAATCAAGTTCCTGACCTCATTAGCGCCCCTCCTTAGTTGCACGCAAGCAGGAGTCATTAGTTTTGATCCATGCACGGCTGAGGCGAGGGCCAAGAAGCCCACCCGAGTCCTAGCTATGAATGTGCCCACCCTGGAGGCTGCTATTCGTAGTCTCCCAGGGCGAGGGCACTGTTGCCATGGGAACTCGCACGACGGCCCATGGATTTAAGGCCCAATGGTAATTCAAAACGTCGGCATTCAAGCAGTACCCGCTAAAGTTGTGTGAGTTGATCGAACGTGATGAGCGTGGTGATTCACAGAGTCATACAGTCAGTGGAGGAGGCCTGATCGAGATTGATCAAGATCTCGCCCCAATATATTTACCCCCTGATCTCTACTTTGAGCACACCTGGGGGGCCTTCAGGCAGAATGCCGCTCGTTAGCGGGTGCACGTCTTGGTACTGTCTTGTCTTGCCACCTGTTTCCATTGCCTACTCTTTGTGGACACCGCGGACACATCGTCTTCCATGGGACAGCGCAGCAGCAGCAGCAGCAGGACAAGGAGGACCAACCCTGTCCCTCCCGCTCTGGCTTTCGGGCCACAGCCCAGCTCTCCGGCGGCCGCTCCGGGGGCGACCCGGGCACCCCCGTACAGCTCTCGGCGAGGCGCGGCTGCTGGAGAGCACCCCGAGGCTGGAACACCGCCGACCACCGACGAGAGCACGCCCTCGGCAGGACCAGCCCGCATCGGACCAGAAAGCAAACGACACCACCCCAGCTACGGCCCCACGGGGCACTGCGTACACCAGGAACTCTGGCGTGAGCTTTTGCATGGTATACGCCACGGCCCCCGGTGGGCCGTAGCGCGACACGGAGGGCCGCAGGTGGGGTGGTGTCGTTTTTTCTTTAGAGGCCTCCTAGATGGGGTCCGAGTAGATGGGGTCGAAGGATCGCACCGCATCGCCAATGCATCGCCAATGTATCGGCGGTGCATCGGTGACGTCGGCGTGGGGAAACGCGGGCTCCACATCGAGCCGCATCGCCGATACGTCGGCGATGCGGCGCGATCCTCCGACGCCACCTGCTCGGACCCCATCTGGGAGGCATAGAGTGTTGGCCGACGCACGGATCGGGCGTTGCTAGAAGTGCCCCTGGCCCAAGGTGCCCCCAGGATTCTCGGGGTGGCCCAGACGGCCTCCAGGGCACCCCTCACGAGGCCCAGGGGGCCCCAGGGGGCCCAAAATGGTGCGAAAGGATGGAGGCACCCTGGGCCAGGGGCACTCCTGGCAACACCCGAAAATGGACTGCAGCGCTGTGCCGGCACGGCGGCGGGGCGAAGAGGAGGAGGAGGAGGAGGTGGAGGACGAGGAGGACGAGGAGGACGACGACGAGGAGGAGGAAGAGGACGAAGAGGAGGAGAGGGAGGAGGAGGAGGTGGAGGAGGACCCCCTCCCCCTCCAACTTCTGGCGGTGCTGGTGGAAAACAGGCCCACCAGGCACGGCGGCGGGGCCCCCGCCGCAGGCGGCCAGCTGACCACGCTCGTGCGCGTCATCTCGAGCGCGACCTGCAGAGGCTGCGCCCCGACGCCGCGCAGGGCCCCAGGGGGCGGGGCCCCGAGAAGGCCGGCGCCCGGGGCGTCGCGCTGCCAGAGCGCGATGGCCTCCGAGCGGGGCTTCTTGGACTGGCCCGGGGGCAGGACGATGCAGTGGCTGCCCGACTCGAACACCTCGGCTGCACTCGGCCCGAAGATCCGAGGCTCCGACAAAGTCGGGGCGGCCAAATCTTTTTGTCCGTTGATTCGGGGTCTGGGAGCCCTCGCGGAGCCCTGGGACCGTCAAAGAACGACTCGGGAGGAGGAACCGGCCCTAGGGAAGTGGTCCAAACCTCTGGGGCGGCCAGATGTCTGGGGGACTGGGCAAGAGTAGCCTTTGGTGCGCGGCTTTAGGGGGGCCGCGGGGAGGCCTAACCGAATCGCGCGGGCCAGTGCTGGGGGGACCCCTGTGTGCCCGCACCAAAAGGTCCCTCCGGCGAAGGGTCGCTGCACCTCGGGGAACAAACAGCGGCACGAACACGCGCGGGTTTCTCGGGTCGGCGCTGGAGCCCCGCGCGGAGCGCGCCAGGAGCAGCACCGGAGGCGCCGTCAGGGGGCTCCAGTGCCGAAGCGAGAAATCCGCGCGGGCCTCCGAAAGTGCGTGTTTGTGTCATGTTTGTTCCCCGAGATGCAGCGGCTGCCCGACTCGACCACCGTGGGCTGCGAAGCCGAGGACTCCTCCAGGGCCGTGATGCGCAGGTGCAGGCAGCGCTTGGCGAAGGGCAGGGAGAGCTCCTGGTCGACGCCAAGCACGTAACTGGCGACCACATCCTGCGCGCGCCTGCTCCGTGGCTGCCTCGCTCCTGTCGTGCCCTTCTTCTGCGCCAGCCTCATGATGCCGTCGAACTCCTTCTGCCAGCGGATGCTGAGATCAGACGCTCCACCGGCACCGGACTCGCCTCCCGGCGGCGACGCCGCATCGTCCTCGAGGGAGAAGCAGATCACCTGGTCCCAGCCCAGCTCGTTGCTGCTCCCCGAGCGGGACAGCTGCGAGCGCAGCTGCTCCGCGTTGGACGTCGACACCACCTGCTGATCGAGCGCCCCCTCCAGGGAGCACAGCTGCAGGACCACGGGGCACGGCATCCAGTTGCGGAACGTGACGACGTTGGCGAGGTGCATCTTGAAGCTCTGCGTCGGGCGCGTCCCCTCGGCGTCGCCACCGAGCGGCACGTCACAGGCGTCGAGGTAGCCGACGACCTTCAGGTACGTGTGGAAGAAGATGCTGAATTTCTTGCGCTGCTGGAGCAGCTCGTGGTCGAGAAAACCCGCCGGCATGAAGGCGTCTTCAAGCGACTCCCCGTTCCAGACACAGGCGTCCAGGAGCTGCGCCAGCTCCTTGAACAGAGTCGGCGCGTGGAAGCGTTCGATGGCCTGCTGAGCCTGCGCTTCAATGTAGATCATCTGGTGGTTCTTTTGCGCAGGGAACCAATCGAGTGGCACAAAGCAAGACGAGTGTGGGCTCAGCTCGATTTCGTCTCTTTCCTGGCCTCTGCACCACGAATGTCGTCGGCCGAAACGCGGTAAGCCTGAACCATCCTTGGTTTTGCGGGTGATCCTCAGAGGGATCGTAGTGTCATTGTAGATCGTTACAGCACTTCTCACGTGAAGAAGGCACTCTCCTTCTCTCATGTCGTTGACTGGCTCCAAAAAAATGGGGCAACCGTGATCGTGGAGCAAGTATGCGCGATCTTGCATCCAATCCTGCTCAACTCGGACGACACTGTCCTTTTCGACTAGGCACTCGTCCAGGACAGCATATCTGAAGCCCAAAGCAACGGTAGCACTCAACCCCCCCGCATGCACGTAGCCAGGCTGCACATCGACTGGACCGCCAGACTGGAACAAGATTGAGAAGGTCACCCCAGTATCGTTGACCAAGTCAACTCGGCGTATTGGCTTCGGTGCCATGCCCTCGAAATCCGAAAGCCCCTGGCGCACCGTTGCAAAGAAGTCCACCAACACCCGCTGCACATTCAGGTTCACGCGTGCCGCCGTCAGGGCGCACTCCATTTTCTTGTTCTCTCCGCGCCACGCCTCGATCATCACCTCCACGGGCTCGAGGACTGGCTCGAGCTGGGCGCCCTGTGCGTCGTAGCACATGACCTCGCACTTCGCGCAGCAGCTCAGCGACTTACCCTTAGGGGAACCAAACAATGTACCGACACCACTACTCCTGGGACCTTGCGTTCTGACCAGAATGTTAAGGCGAACCTGGCGGTGGCGACGAGGCCCCCCCACAAGGCCCAAAAAGCCGAAAACGAATTATCCTGGCGAAGGGCCCGCGCCTATGCAGTTGTGAATAAAGATATTGTTGGTATCGTCTTCGGTGGAGCTCCTTATTGGGGCGCGAAGCGTGTGAGGAGTGTGCCGGCTTGGGTGCGGTGGTCTCATGCGAACGCAGCCACTGGGGCCTTCGGTCGAGCTCCCTATGGGTCCACAAGACGTGTGAGGGGTGTGCCTACATAGGCACGGTGGTGCTATGCGAGCGCAGCCACTGGGGCGTTCGGTGGAGCCCCTATGGGGCCACAAAACGTGTGAGGGCCGTGCCGACATGGGTGAAGCGGTGTCATGCGAGCGCAACCACTGGGGCCTTCGGTGGAGCTCCCTTTGAGGCCACGAAGCGTGTGAAGGGAATGCCGACATGGGCGCGGTGGGGTCATGCGAGCGCAGCCGCTGGGGCCTTCGGTGGAGCTCCCTATGGGGCCGCGAAACGTGTGAAGGGTGTGCCGACATGGGTGCGGAGGTGTCATGCGAGCGCAGCCACTGGGGTCTTCGGTGGGGCTCCCTATGGTGCCACGAAACATGTGAGGGGTGTGCCGACATGGGTGGGGTGGTGTCATGCGAACGCAGCCACTGGGGCCTTCGGTGGAGCTCCCTATGGGTCCACGAAACGTGTGAGGGCCGTGCTGACATGGGTTCGGTGGTATCATGATAGCGCGGCCGCTGGGGCCTTCCGTGGAGCCCCCTATGGGGCCACGAAACGTCTGAGGGGTGTGCCGACAGGGGTGCGTTGGTGAAATGTTAACGCAGCCGCTGGGGCCTTCGGTGGAGCTCCCTATGGGGCCACGAAACATGTGAGGGGTGTACCGAAATCGGTGCGGTGGTGTCATGCGAGCGCAGCCACTGGGGCCTTCGGTGGAGCTCCCTATGGGGCCACGGAACGTGTGAGTGGTGTGCCGGAATGGGCCACGAAGGGCACGAAGTAGGCCACGAAGGGCGACAGCGGGAACACGAAGGGAATGCGTATGGGGCCGCGAAGAGCGCGAACGAGCGGGGGCCACGAAGTGCAGGTAATGCGGGGCCACAGAAGGCAACTATGGGGTCACTGAGGGTAGCAACTGGGCCACGTAGGACAGTGAGGGGGACACAAATAGCGACAGTGGGGCCACGAAGGGCATGCACATGGGGCCACAACGGGAGCGACTACTGGGTGCCTGGGTGTCGGGAGCGCGGCGCTTGGGCAAATTGCAGGAAATTCCAACGCAAGGCCATTCTTCATTAAGTTACAAGCAAGTCTCCAGCGAGAGTGCGACTCCAGAGCGCCGGGAGAGCGATTCCTGAATCAATTGTAAGGAAGTCCCAAGCGAGAGCGCGATTCCTGAATTCGCCGGCCCAACGGGCCAGGGCGTGCTAAGATCTCCGGTAACTGATTAACAGTATTAACAGTATTTCTAGTTCGCGCGCGCGGGGCGGCCCCTGGGGGTCCCCCGGCGAAAAGTACCCCGACCAACGCCCGGTCGCCGCCCGACCGCCGCCCGACCGCCGCCCGACCAAGTCTACTCAGAGATGGTTTTCCTTCTGGGTGCGGCCTCTCAGGCTCCCCAGAGCGCGCTCAGAGTGCCCCAAGAGGCCCCCAAGACTGCCCAAGAGGCCCCCGAGACGCCCAAAGAGCGCTCGAAGACGCCGAAGATGACCCCAAGACGGCCCAAAAGGCCCCCAAGACAGCCCAAGAGGCCTCCAAGACGCCCCAAGAGCCTTCCAAGAGGCCTCCGAAGAGAGCCCCAAGAGGCCAAAATCGTTGATTTTCATTGGTTTTTTCGATGTTTTTTGTGTTCTGGCTTTTTCGGCTTCCGGACGCTCCAAGACGGCCCAAGAGGCCCCCAAGACCGCTCCAAGACGGCCCACGAAGCTCCCAAGACGGCGCCGAAACGACCCAAGAGAGCCCTCAAGACGGCCCAAGTGCCGCCCAAGACGGACCAAGAGGCCCCAAGACGGGCCCAAGAGGGACTCAGGAGGGATACCGAGAACTCAAAAATGGAGCCCTCCGTCCCAGAAGGCGCCCAGGAGGTCCCAAAGAGGCCCCAAGAGGCCTCCAAGAGGCCCCAAGATGTCGCCAAGAGGCCCCAGGAGACTCCCAGGAGGCCCAAAAGAAGCCCCAGAAGGCTTCAAACATGTCTCCCAGGCGCCCCCGAACGGCCTCTCAACAGACCCCAAGAGGCCCCCCAAAGAAGCATCTTGACGACGACTCTATTTCGCCCCATCGAGAGACGACCCCCAGGGAACTGCTTCACCATCAAAACTCCCCACGCAACGCGTCCGAACGACACCCGCCCCCAAGAGCGCAACATGGGCAACGAACACACAGACAAAAACCAGCGATGCCATATCACGGGCCGGCGGAATGAGCGAAGCGATTCAATAAAATGCAAGGAAGTCTCGGGCGGGAGCGGGGGTCCTGGCTAAATTGTAAGGAAGTCTTAAGCGGGAGCCGTTGTTGTTGTAACCCGGGGGGCAGGGGTCCAGTTTGAGCATCAAGACTTTCCTTGTAAAAAACAGGGTGCGAGCGTCGAGGGGCACACTTTGATTGAGAAAAAACAATGCGCACCGGTGGGGGGGATCAACAATAATCATTCTTCTGAAATGAGAATTCAACAACAACAACAACAACAACAACAACAACAACAACAACAACAACAACAACAACAACAACAACAACAACAACAACAGCAACAGCAACAGTAGCAGAAGCAGCAGCAGCAGCAGCAGCAACAACAACAACAACAACAACATCGCGAGTTGTTTCGCAACGGGGGGATATCAGGGTTAGTCCGGGCATATCCCTTCTACAGGCGGATTCTTGATGAAAATTTGCACAGATTCAAAACATACCCCAAAAATACCCAAACATTGTCAAAAATACTCCCCCTGCTATTTTCTTACTATTTTTGCATATTCCCCCTGTAGAGGGACGCGCCCGACTTAATATCAGGGTTTTCCCCCTCCGATCTCCTGATCTGGTGGCACCGGCCCGCGAACGGAGACGTTCTGTAAACGCGCGCGCAGCCAGTTCGAGGGTGCGAGCAAGCCGCCCAGCAGCTGCACCTCGATGCTGTGCGTGACGTCGAGCTCGATGCTCCAGGCGCCCACCGCGTCCTCTACAGAGACACAGATGCATAGACACAAATACACAGAAATACATTTAACAAAAAACATTAACACCATGCAGTAGACACAATAGACATACATTGACACAATACATACATGTAGAGGCACAGTCGACACGCATACACAGGGGCCGAGGGAGGCACAAACACACGATTCCAGGATGCCCCATCTTGTTCCTACGTTTTGCATTTCTTTGCCCCTCCATTACCTATATTGTCCATGTTGTATTGAAGCTCGGCGTCGAGCTGTGTCTGTTGACATTTGTCCATCCCGGTCCTTGTGGCCGCTTGCCCGGCTCAGCTGCGAGACCCTGCCGCTAGCACCGCCACGCCGCTTCATGCCCACGGCGCTGATAGAAGAAGAAGACGAGGCATCTATATATGTTTATATCTATATATACATACAGACATACAGATACCTAAACATTAATCATATACACATACGTATACATAACGAAATGAATGGCATGCACTAGAAAACCGCGCGCTTTGCGCGAGCTTAAGTTCTACTTAGCATTCAGCATTCTCTAGTTGTGTTCTAAAGTGTTCGGCATCGGAGGACTTATATTACTCTGTGCCCCTCAATAACCCCGTGCCGCCGAAGTACAGGTACCCCTCGGACTACAGATGACCCCCCCACACGCTCAGACTGCAAGTACCCCCCCCGGACTACAGGTGAGACACACACACACACACACGCGGACTACAGGTACCCCCCTCGGACTACATCCACGCGTGTTGACGCGTGAACACGCGTTCCCCCCAAGACTTCAAGTACCCGCCTGGCTGCAGGCACCCCACACCGGACTACAGCTCCCCCCCCCGGACTACAGGTACCCCTCCCCCGGACAGGTATACCCCTCCCCGGACTACAGGCACCCCAGAACTACTGAGGGACACAGAAGATCACATGGATCGTGCCCCTCAGGGAGCTTCGCCTGCGGCCCCAGAAACAAAAACTTGGCTTAGCGGCCCGCCGCCCATGTCGGCACACCCCTCACAGGGATCGCGCCACACAGGAAGCACCGCCTACGTGCCCAGTGACAAAGTTCGCATAGTGGCACGCCCCATCAAGCGGATCGTGCCCCGCAAGTAATGTCATCTGTGGCATCAGAGGGAAGCTTCATAGCGTCGCCCAACTCCCTTCGGCACGCCTCTCACACGGATCGTGGCCCGCAGGGATCTCCACCGACGGCCCAAGAGGCAGGATTCGCACTGTGCCCCCCCACCCCATCATGCGGATCACCACCTAAAGGCCCACAAACAAGGGGTTCGTCTAGCGCCCCCACGCCCATGTCTGCACACCCGTCACACGAATTATGCCCCAGAAGGAGCTCCACCTATAGCACCAATGGGCAATTGTGCATGGCGTCCCCCCGCCCATTTCGGATCATGCCTCGCACGGGTCATGCCGGAGGACGTCCACCTGCGGCCTCAGTGGGCGTGTTCGCGCGGGGGGCATCCGAATTATTCGGCGCACACTTCACGCGGACCGTGCCCCACACGGAGGTCGGCGCACCCGTGCACGCGTGCTCCGCAGCAGCCATCTTTCCGCAGTGCCCCGCGGCGCGCAGTGTATGAAGAGAGACACGCGCCTTGCGCTACACATGATTGCACATGGATGGGCCAGTCGCCGAACACATTCCTGGAAGATGGAACGCAGCAATTATGCTCTCGTGGGGTCCTGGGCGCATCTTGGATCTTGGAACCTGCCTAGGACGTTTTCTGGGGCCTCTTGGAGCCGTCCTGTCCGGGCATCTTCGGCCCCGTCGGGCAGCTCTGGTGGTCGTTTCCTGGCCGCCGCCCGCGCTGCTTGAGCGGCGGGGGGGGGCACGGGACGCCCCGGGAAGGGTCGAGATGCTGTGGGCCAAATGGGGGGGGGGAATCTGGGAGGGTATCCGGGCCCGGGCCCCCGGTACCCCGGCATGTTCATGTACATATACATATATATATATACATACATACATACACACACACATACATACATACATACAAACATACATACATACATACATACAAACATACATACATACATACATACATACATACATACATACATACATACATACATACATACATACATATACACATATATATATATATATACATATATATATACATACATACAGATATAAATATATGTGTGTATATCTATATATTCATCTACTTTTATAAGGCCGGGGGCCCCAGACGGACCCCGGACGGAGCCCCCCCCCAACGAGTTTCGGCCTTCTCCGGGAATTTCGGGCGGTCCCAGAGGCGCCCCAGACGGCCCGAGATACCCCCAAGAGGGGTCCACGAGCGTTCCAAGACAGCCCAAGAGCGCTCCAAGAGACGCCAAGACCGCCCAAGACCGTACAAGGGGGCCCCGAGATGCCCCAAGAGGCCTCCAAGAAGTTTCCCAAGAGGGCCCCAAGAGGGATATTTCATTGATTGCTGTATGGTGTTCAAAAGTTCTTCTGTTTCTCCCTTTTTCGGGCCAACATCAGCCCGAACAGGCCCAAGAGGCTCCAAAGATCGCCCCAAGATAGCCCAAGAGGCCCCCAAAGAGCCCGAAAACGATAAGAGCGCCCAAAGAGGCACCCAAGAGGGCCCCAAGACGCCGCCAGGAAAGCCCCACGACGGCCAAAGGCCTCCAAAACGCCCCAAGACGGCCCAAAAGGACCCCGAGACGACCCAAGAGAACCCCAACAGGGCCCTAAAAGGAATCAACAAGGGCCCCGAGAAGACTCCCAAGAGGCCCATACAACGCTACATAACACAAGGGCTCTCAACGCTGAGCTTCAACGGTACCCCCAGAAGCCTTCCAATATTTATTTTCCTCCATCCTTCTTCTCCCCGTCTCCCTCCTTCTCTTTCCCGTTACCCTCCTGTTCCTCCTCCTTCTCTGTATACTCTTTGCTCCTCCTCCTCTCAACCTCCTCCTCCTCGTATGTTTCGCTCCTTTTGCTCCTCCTCCTCCTCCTCCTCCTCCTCCTCCTCCTCCTCTTCCTTCTCTTCCCCATCCTCCTGATCCTCTTCATGTTCCTATTCAGCTGGGCTCGGCTCGGGTTGGCGGCGAAGGAGCGGGAAATGAAGGATGAGGGAAGGAAAGGATAGGGAATGGAAGACATTGTCAGATCGACAACAACGACAACGGCAACAAGGCGTTATCACTTCCATTAACTATGTACATATATTTCATCCCGCCTGCTTGCTCACCTTGAGGGACCATGGTAGTGCTGGCCAATTTCGCCTGAAACCCTCGCACCTTTGAGTTGCTAGATTCCCGGAGCAGCTGGTCAGGCCACTATCGCCTGAGATACGAATGTGTATGCACACACAGAGCTACCCAGACCATTTGCAGATTCATGGACATACCCATACATACGTATATTCAAATTTACATATGTGGTATGTTCCATCGGCGCATGTGTGTGCGCATGTACGCAAGCACACACTCCGCGAACGTGCGAAACTCAAAAAAAGGACCCAGGCGCATGGCGCGCAGCGCCAATGCAGTCTTGTATATAAATACATACATACATATATATATATATATATATATGCCTCTTCCTATATTCTAATAAGCCTGAGCCCGGGCGGGCCCCCCCCCAACAAAAAAAAGGACTCCCGGGATCTGGGGCTTTGGGACCCTCCGGACGGGCCTCGAAGCGGCCCCCCGGGCCTCGCGGGGCGTTTTGCCAAGCCTTCCCAGCACACCGAGGGCGATCAAGGGGGTCATGTATATATATATATATATGTATATATGTGTATATATATATATACTAGAATCATCGCGCGCGCTTCGCGCGCGCTCAAGTTCTAGCTGGGATAATCGTCATTGTCATCATCGCCATCCTCATCACCATCATATCCGGCGTCATCGTCAGCGGCATCGTTATCATCACCATGACCATCACCATCATCACAAATCGTCACCATCACCACCATCAGCAGCAACATCGTCATCACCATCGTCATCATCGCCATCGTCGTCATCATCGTCAATATCGTCACCTGGATTGTCCACACAATCATCCGCATCATCGACATCGTCATCATTATCGTCGTCGTCGTCGTGATCGTCGTTATCGGTATCGTCATCATCATCGTCATCATCTTCATCATCAGCCCACTCCTGCATCACAAGCACCATAAACAGCATCGCCACCATTATTATCAGCATCGGCGTTATCATCCTGACCATCAGCAGCATCATCATAATGATCGTCAGCATCACCATCCTCAACGGCATCACCGTCATCGTCATCATGATCGTCAGCATCACCAACATCATCATCATCACCATCACTCACATCACGATCACAATCATCAACATCATCATCACCAGCAGCATCATCATTCCCACTGTCAACATCATCATCATCATAATCATCATCATTTTCGTCCTCATCATCATCATCATCATCATCGTCGTCGTCGTCGTCGTCGTCGCCAATTTCATAATAGTCGTCATCATCGTCATCATTTTCGTTACCGTCGTCTCCGAAGCTCCCCCGCCGAACTCGAGGATATCTCCGCAGCGTCTTGCATGCCGCGTGAGCAGTATTTGGGATTTAGGTTGTGGGCCTGAGGCCGCCCTGCATAATCATCATTGTCATTATCACCAGCGTCTGGAAGCCCTTTCGGCGCCTTTGGGAAGCCTCTTGGAGCTTCCTGGGGGCCTCTCGAGGCCTCTTGCGGATTCCTGGGGGCCTCTTGGGAGCTTCTGGTGGGCGAGGGCTCGAAATGTAAGTTCGTGTTCCCCATCTGGGGCTCCTCTTGGAGTGTTCTGGGAGCTCTTTTGTGCCGTCTTGGACGCTTCCTGGGCCGTCTTGGGGCCCTCTTGGGCTGTCTCGGTGGTCTCTTGGGGGCCTCAGGGCTCGTCTTGAGGCGATCTTTCGGGCCTCTTGGGCCGCCTTGGGGCGTCCGGAAGCCGAACTGGGGAGAACGCCAAAACCCTTCAAACCCCACTAAAAATCAGTGACAATATCCTATTGGGCCCCTCCCGGGAGTGCTGTCGGAGACCTGCTGAGACGCTTTGGCAGCTTTTTAACCGTCTTGGAGTGTTCCCGGGCCGCTTCGGACCTCTCTTGGGCTGTCCTGAGGGCGTCCTGCAGCCATTTTAGAAGGTCCTGGGAGCGTCCTGGCGTCCCCGGCGGGGGGGTGACCACAGCCACTGGGCAAAGTGAGGCCCCCCCCTGGTCCAGGACCCACTCCCCTTTTTTATTTATTTATTTATTTATGTATTTGTTATACACATACATATATATATATATATATATATATATATATATACACACATGCACATATACATATAACGGAAACATACGTAAAGCGTGTAGGACTGCGTACACAGGAGAAGGACAATGTATAGAAACATACGTACGTCGTCCAAGGCACCTCGGAAGGCGCGCATAATACTCCTCCGATGCGCGGAATCATGTTCCCAGACCGCCTTCCGGGAACTTGACGGGGACGACCTCCTGAGGGCCTCCAGTGGGCCTCTTGGGGGCCTCTCGGAGGCCTGTTGGGCTCTCCTGGAGGCGCCTTGGGGCGCGCTCAGGGCCATTTCTGGCCATATTGGGGGCCTCTGGGGGCCTCCTCGGAGGCTCTTGGGGGCCTCTTTGGGGCCTCTTGGGGCCTCGCGGGGCCCTCTTGGGGACCGCTGGGCTCGCTTAGCCAGTCTTGAAGCCCTGTCGGGGCTCTCCTGGAACCGTCTTGGGCGGCTACTGGGCCATCTTGGGGCTCTCCTGGGCCGTCTTGGGACGATTTTGGGGGTTTCTTGGGCCGTCTGGGGGCGGTCTTGGGGGCCTCTTCGGCCGTCTTGGAACGGTTTTGGGAGACTCTTGGACGGTCTTGGAGCGTCGGAACCCCGAAAAAGCGAGAAGGCCAAAAACCTAGAAACAAATCAATAAACATCAACGATTTTGGCTTGTCGGGGCTCTCTTGGGAGGCCTCTTGGGATGCCTTCGGGGCCTCATGGAGCTCTCTTGGAACGTCTCCGGGCCTTCCTGGCCATTCCTGAGGCTATCTACGCGCGTCTTGGAGCGCTCGCGGGCCGTCTTGGGCGGTCTCGAGCTGTTCCTGGCGGTCCCAGGGGCCCTCCGGACGCTTCGGACGCTCCCGAGCGCCCTGCACCCCCCATGGAGATTACTGGCAGCGCCCTGGGCCGCCCCCAGGCCCTTCTCCGATATATATATATATATATATATATATATATATATATATATATATTATATATATATATGCGTGCCCCCCCCCACCAAGATCTACCTCGGGACGTACATTCTAGGACTAGGATAACTTGGATTGTTTTGAGCACGGCGTTCGAATGATGGAGGCGATCTGGTTTGGGCGCAAGGATTCGCGCGGGCCGCGCTAGCACTGTCAAGGAGTGCCAAGTAAGGAATCTACCTCCGCCAGAAATTGGAACAGAGCGTTGAACCCATCTCGGCCCAGAGATCTTTGCCCCTGTGCCAGATACAATCGTGTTGATGATGATGGTGGTGGTCGTTGTTAGCCACGTAGTGGTAGCAACGATGGCCCATGTATTGTCGCAATGCAGATGATGATGATGATGATGATGATGATGATGATGATGATGATTGTGGCGGCGAAGATGGTGGCAGTGGTCGACCACGGTTCATTGTTGTTGATGCTACTAGCGACGATGACGATGCCAATTCTGATGATGGTATTGTGGAGCTGGTGGGCAGTCGGGTCTTGTTCATGCTGGTGGCGACGGTGGTCTAGGTGTTGGTGGCGATCGCGATGGTGGAAGACCTGGTTTTTCTGCGGATTTGCATGATCGCAATGATGGTGGTGCTCATCACGGTCTTGGATGTGGCGACGATACTGATGGTTGTGGCCATTTTGTGGTCGCGATGATGATGGTGTCGGTGATGGTGATGATGTTGATGTGGTTGTCGATGATGAATTCAAGCTAATGCAATCGGTCCAACTGGTAGTAGAGATAATGCTAATAATGTTGATGGTGGTGGTGACGGCACTCAGGGAGGTGTTGGTGATGGTGGTGGGTGGGCAACTTGCGAGGCTCGGAGAGAGCACAAGGGTCATGTTGAATCTCATTGAGGACGGGGGAAGGATGACGGAGTACGACGTGGGTGAAGACGAGGGCGAAGATCAGGAGGAGAAGAAGGAAGGCGGAGTAGGATTAGGAGAAAAGCCAAGAGTAATGTTGGGAGAAGGGAGGAGAATGAGTAAGGTTCACAACGGCCAGGCTCAGGGGAAGGATGAGGCTCAGGACCATGATAAGGAGGAGGATAGAGGACCATTAGGATCAGGGGGGCAGAATAGCAGACCAGGAGGAACCGGAGAAATGTAGCAGACGAAAAGGCACGACACGTGCCGCATTCATCAATATTTCTATTATCATCTCAACTCGTACCGCAATCACTATGGTGACGGTAGTAATGCTGGCACACATGATATTGATTGTAACGTCACAGCGGGTTTGACGCGTTGGTAGCCCAGGTCGTAGACGTGATTGTCATAAACGCGATTATTATGATGGTGAGGGCATTGGGCCAAGTATGGTGGCGATGGTGACGGCCGAGGTGTTGGAAACGCTGCTTCCAGTGGAGTTGAAGCCGGTGGTAGTGATTATGGCCCCGGTGGTTGTGATGACGATGACAAAAATATCATCGGGGTGGGTGGGGTGGTAATGCTTGCGATGGTGACAGTGGCGATGTTGCAGTTTTGTCTGCCCGGCTACTACTGCAGGTAGTCGCGATGATGACGGTGGCGGAAGTGTTTGGCCAGATGGCGTTGGCGGTGATGGCCCAGAGACGGGTCGCAGTGCAGATGATGGGTGTCTTGGCAAATAGTGGCGGTGGCGGACCAGGTGGCAGTGATGGTGGTGTACTGGCGATGATGACTACATATGCTAAACGGTTACGTCAGCGTCGTCGACTTCGTGGCCAGGTGGTAATGATGTGCGCATGGTATTGATGGCGGTCGCTGTGATGGTCCACTTGTCATGCTGCCAAATTGAGTCGTTGCCAGTGGCGGTGATCCAAATGGCGGCGATGACGATGATGACGATAAAGAGTGCTAAGGTGGTGGGCGGGATTGATGTCGCTGGTAGTGATGGCGACGGCATTGGCGCGATGCTGCATGCCCAGCTACTAGTGGAGGTCATCGTGATGATACTGGTGTTAGCTGTTGACTAGGTGGTGTTCGCGGTGATGTCCCAGGGGCTGGTTGCGAGTCGTGCTCTGTGGTGGCCTGTGGTGTCCTGTGGTGGCCCGTGGTGCGTTGCGGTGTCCCGTGGCCCCCCCCCGTCGTTTGTGCTCCAGAGGGGCATCCAAAACAGGATGCCCCTCTCGACGTGACACATTAGTTGCGCCATCGCAAGCCCGCTCCGCGACCATTTTATTGAGCTCGCACATGCAAAGCGTATCCTGTGGTCTTCTGTGGTGTCCCTTTGTTTCCTGCGGTGTGCTGCGGTGTCCTGTGGTCTCCTGCGGTGTCCTGTGGTTTACAGCAGTGTCCTGTGGTGGCCTGTCGTGCTCTGTGGTGTCCTGTGGTGTCCTGCGGTGGCCTGCGGTGTGTTGCGGTGTCCTGTGCCCCCCCCCGTCGCTTGTGCTCCAGAGGGGCATCCAAAACAGGATGCCCCTCTCGACGTGACACATTAGTTGCGTCATCGCAACCCCGCTCTGCGACCATTTTATTGAGCTTGCACATGCAAAGCCGGTGGCCGAATTCATCGTTGGCCGCGGCAGCGGGCTACTGAGCGCCGAAGCACCCGTCCCGGACGCTCGCCCCGCTGCCTTTTGGCTTCTTAGCGAGCTCGCGATAAGCCTCCCGCTGCGCCCTGGAGGCGTTCGTCAGGAACCTGGCCCTCTCCAGGGAGAAGCAGCAGTTCTTCTCCTGACGGGCGGGGGGGCGCAGGGAGGACGGAGACCGCCCCCGGGCGCTCGCCCAACCAAGCTCGAGTTTCTGTTCTGTTGCCAGAAGGAAGAGCCGGGGTGGGGGCGGTGAGTCGTTGCTTCGCCCGCAAAAAGCCTTGGCCTTCTGGAGGGCAGTCTGCAAGGCGCAGCGCTCCTTGTTCGCCTCGTTCCAAGCGGCCGCCTCACCGTCCCGTTTCCCCTCTGCTCGAGCGGCGCGTGCCCCCCGCTTCGCGGCGTCGCGCTCGTCGCAAGCCTCGCCCAGCAAGCTGTTCAACTTCTCGTTCTTGCTTTTCACCCGGTCGAAAGCCTTGCTGGCGTTCTCGGCCGCGCGCCATGGGGGAGCAGAAAGTTTCGGTGTTGGTCGTTGCGCAGCGGCTGGGGTTAGCGGTGGTCGTTTGTTTACTGCGTGGGGTCATTGCGTGGTGCCGTTTCCTTGTTTTGTTGGCGTGTTTCGGTGCTGTGATCTCCATTGTTGCCCGTGGAGGCTTGCTCTGCGTTGCTCTGTGCGTGTCTCGTAAGGAGAGGGTGTGTGTTTGTGTGCGTTTGGTATCCCAGCAGCCGTCTGCACGAACACATCACGGCGCAAGTTGAAGTTTTCTTTTTTCTTGGCCGCAACCTCCTTCTGGAGCTCCGCCTGCCGCTTCCTCAGGGATCCGACGGTGTTGCGGGTCTGCTTCAAGGCCAAATCCAATCCTCGCCGAAGATGTTCCCTCACCCAGGGCTTCCTGAGCCAATTCTGGATCGAGGCGGCACGTTTACGATCTCGGCAACTGTCCTGCTTAATCTTCCGAGCCTTTTTTCGAACTTGCTGGCATGGGGGCAGCGCGTGGCCAACAAAACAATGAAATAACAACAAATTGAGGTTGGTAGCCCAGAGCCGGCACGGCTAAGAACGGACAGGGGGAGAGGGATTGACCCGTAAACTATCATCAACACCACCGTCATCCTCATCATGACTATTCTTCTCGTCAGCCTCCTCGTCGATATCATCATCGACATCAAAGTGGCCATCGATATCAACATTAGCATCAACATTATCCTAACAACTCCCTCGCATTCCCTCCTCCTCCTCATCCTCTGAACACCTTCGAGCGCAGGGAATTCGCCGACCAACCCTACAGCCTGGTAAAACATACCCCACTACTCAAGAGAATCCGAGACTGCATCCCTTCGTGGATGGCCCGGGCTGCTCGCCATTGGGTATCACACATCATTCACCAGGGCCAGGGGATGTTCAAACGCTGCTTTGAGCCCCCTGGGAGTTCTTCTCGTCTGAGCTTCTTTCGGTCGTTCGTGTCCTGAGCTCCCCCTCATTCTCATCCTCTTCATTCCTCCTCCTCCCCTTCATCATCGGCCCCATCCTCCTGCATTTCCTCCTCTACTTCCTCCTCCCCCTCATGCTCCTCTTCCTCCTCATCTTCATTTTCGTTTCATTTGCTCTTCCTCCTGCGCCTCCTCCTGACACTCATCGTGAGAGCGGGAGAGCGGGGAGAGCGGGGGGGGGGCAGAGGGGCGGGAGAGCGGGAGAGCGGGAGAGCGGGAGAGCGGGAGAGCGGGAGAGCGGGAGTGCGGGAGAGCGGGAGAGCGGGAGAGCGGGAGGGCGGGAGAGCGGGAGAGTGGGAGAGCGGGAGAGCGGGAGAGCGGGAGAGCGGGAGAGCGGGAGAGCGGGAGAGCGGGAGAGCGGGAGAGCGGGAGAGCGGGAGAGAGCGGGAGAGCGCGGGAGAGCGGGAGAGCGGGAGAGCGGGAGAGCGGGAGCGGGAGAGCGGGAGAGCGGGAGAGCGGGAGAGCGGGAGAGCGGGAGAGCGGGAGAGCGGGAGAGCGGGAGAGCGGGAGAGCGGGAGAGCGGGAGAGCGGGAGAGCGGGAGAGCGGGAGAGCGGGAGAGCGGGAGAGCGGGAGAGCGGGAGAGCGGGAGAGCGCGGGAGAGCGGGAGCGGGAGCGGGAGAGCGGGAGAGCGGGAGAGCGGGAGAGCGGGAGAGCGGGAGAGCGGGAGAGCGGGAGAGCGGGAGAGCGGGAGAGCGGGAGAGCGGAGCCAGGGAATGGGTCAACGTGCAAATTGCAATGGCCTGAGTCCGCCCCGGCGGACCCGGCCGCCCCCCCCCCCGCTCTCCCGCCCTCCCGCTCTCTCCCGCTCTCCCGCTCTCCCGCTCTCCCGCTCTCCCGCTCTCCGCTCTCCCGCTCTCCGCTCTCCCGCTCCCGCTCTCCCGCTCCCGGTCTCCCGCTCTCCCGCTCTCCCGCTCCCCCGCTCCCCCGCTCTCCCGCTCCCCCGCTCTCCGCTCTCCCGCTCCCTCCCGCTCTCCCGCTCTCCCGCTCTCCCGCTCTCCCGCTCTCCCGCTCTCTCCCGCTCTCCCGCTCTCCCGCTCGCTCTCCCGCTCTCCCGCTCTCCCGCTCCCCCGCTCTCCCGCTCTCCCGCTCTCCCGCTCTCCCGCTCTCCCGCTCTCCCGCTCTCCCGCTCTCCCGCTCTCCCGCTCTCCCGCCTTCCGCTCTCCCGCACTCCCGTTTACTCGCCCTCCCACTCTCTCCCGCCATGCCACCCTCTGATCGGCGGCTAGACCAGATCTCCTCGAACAAAGGGTTGTTTAGGTAGATCTTGGTGGGGGGGGGGGCTCCCACACATATATATATATATATAGATATATACATATATATATATACATACATACCTACATACATACATACATACATACATACATGCATACATACGTACATACATACACACTTACATACATACATACATACATACATACATACATACATACATACATACATACATACATACATACATACATACATACACACATACATGCATACGTACATACATACATACATACATACATGCATACATGCATGCATGTATATATATATATATACATATATACATACATACATACATACATACATACATACATACATACATACATACATACATGCATACATACATACATGCATACATACATACATACAGTACATACAATACATAGGAAACATGCAATACATACAATACATACAACACATGCAATACATGCAATACATGCAATACATACAATACATACAATACATACACTACATACATACATACATACATACATACATACATACATACATACATACATACATACATACATACATACATACATACATATATGCATACATACATACATGTATGCATGCATACATAAATACATACAACACATACAATACATCCAATACATACATACTTACATACATACATACATACATACATACATACATGCATACATGCATACATGCATACATGCATACATGCATACATGCATACATACATACATGCATACATGCACACATGCATACATGTATGCATGCATACATGCATACATGCATACATGCATACATGCATACATGCATACATACATACATGCATGCATGCATGCATGCATGCATACATACATGCATACATGCATACATGCATACTAGAACCACGCGCGCGCTTCGCGCGCGCTTAGGTTCTGTCGAGTCACAGACCCAGGAATCGTTGCGAGAAGAAATTGGTGACGCGAAGCGTCTTGGGGGCGTCCTTGGACGTCTGGGGTCTCCTGGGGCCTCTTGAGGGGCCTCCTTGGGGCCTCCTGGCGGCCTCTTGGGGCGGAAGGCTCGAGCTTGCGGTTCGTGGTCCCCCTCTGGGCCCCCTCTTGGGCCCGTCTTGGGGCCCTCTTGGGCCATCTTGGGCGCCTCTTGGGCCGTCTTGGGGCCCTCTTGGGCTGTCCTGGGGCCCTCTTGGAAGCTTCTTGGGCCGTCTTGGGGCGGTCTTGGGCGCCTCTTGGGCCGTCCTGTAACGTCGGAAAGCCAAAAGACAACTTTGTTGAAAATGTACGTTTTACGAAGGGAATGGGCCAATTTTGCGTCTAGGGGCCCTCTTGGGACGCATGTTGGAGGCTTCTTGGGGCCTCTTGGGGGCGTCCTTGGACGTCTGGGGTCTCCTGGGGCCTCTTGAGGGGCCTCCTGGGGGCCTCCTGGCGGCCTCTTGGGGCGGAAGGCTCGAGCTTGCGGTTCGTGGTCCCCCTCTGGGCCCCCTCTTGGGCCCGTCTTGGGGCCCTCTTGGGCCATCTTGGGCGCCTCTTGGGCCGTCTTGGGGCCCTCTTGGGCTGTCCTGGGGCCCTCTGGGAAGCTTCTTGGGCCGTCTTGGGGCGGTCTTGGGCGCCTCTTGGGCCGTCCTGTAACGTCGGAAAGCCCAAAAGGCGACTTTGTTGAAAAATGTACGTTTTACGAAGGGAATGGGCCAATTTTGCGTCTAGGGGCCCTCTTGGGACGCATGTTGGAGGCTTCTTGGAGCCTCTTGGGGGCGTCCTTGGACGTCTGGGGTCTCCTGGGGCCTCTTGAGGGGCCTCCTGGGGGCCTCCTGGCGGCCTCTTGGGGCGGAAGGCTCGAGCTTGCGGTTCGTGGTCCCCCTCTGGGCCCCCTCTTGGGCCCGTCTTGGGGCCCTCTTGGGCCATCTTGGGCGCCTCTTGGGCCGTCTTGGGGCCCTCTTGGGCTGTCCTGGGGCCCTCTTGGAAGCTTCTTGGGCCGTCTTGGGGCGGTCTTGGGCGCCTCTTGGGCCGTCCTGTAACGTCGGAAAGCCCAAAAGACAACTTTGTTGAAAATGTACGTTTTACGAAGGGAATGGGCCAATTTTTGCGTCTAGGGGCCCTCTTGGGACGCATGTTGGAGGCTTCTTGGGGCCTCTTGGGGGCGTCCTTGGACGTCTGGAGGCCATCTTCAGCATCTCGGAGCCCTCTTGGAGGCCTCTTGGAAGTTTCTTGGGCCGTCTTGGGCGCTTCTTGGGCCGTCTTGTCTGACTGGGGAGGCCTCCGGCAAGCCCCGACGAGCCTCTGGGCCCCCCGGGGCGCACATTTGTGGTCGGGGTCCCGGCCCCGGGCCCCCGGACCCGGTGCGCCGTTATATATATATATATATATATATATATATATATATATATATATATATATATAGATATATATTATATATATATATATAAATATATTTTACATGCATACATGCATACATGCATACATGCATACATGCATACATGCACACATGCATACATACATACTCGTGTGGACCCGATGATTGAATCCACGGAGCTGCGTGAGTCGAAGCTTGCCCACGCGCGCATCCGTCTGCGGTGCGCAAGTGCCAGCGGCGTGCAATCGACAGCCAACGTAAAATCGACGAGTTTCGCCTCTTCGGGCCCTCTTGGAGGTCCTCCTGCGGCTCTTTTGGAGCGTCTTGGGCCCTCTGGGGCCGTCTTGACAGCATCTTCAACCGTCTTGGGGCCCAGCAAGCTGCGGCGTGCGATCGACAACCGAAGTGACATCGACGATTTTCGCCTCTTCAGGCCCTCTTGGGGGTCCTCCTGGGGCTCTTTTGGGGCGTCTTGGGCCCTCTGGGGCCGTCTTGACAGCATCTTCAACCGTCTTGGGGCCCTCGGGGGCAGACCCGGGGCCCTCTTGGTCTGTCTTGGGGGGCCTCCTGGGAGTTTGTTGGGCCATCCTGGGGGCCTCTTGAGGGTTTATTGGGCCGTCTTGGGGACCTCTTGGCCCCTCCTGTGCTGTCTGTGGGCTCTCTTGGGCGCCTCTTGGGCAGTCTTGGGGCGATCCTGGAGACTCTCTCTCTTTCTCTCTCTATTTGTTTATATAGTTCTCTCTCTCTCTCTCGTTCTTTCTTTTTTTTTCTCTCTCTCTCTCTCTATCTCTCTCTGTATGTATATATAATATGTGGGGCGTCTGGGAGGCCTCACTGAGCCCTGGCGTCCCTGCCTGCCTCGTACCCTGCGCTCTCCGTTTTTCCAATGCGAGTCGTGCGGGGAGCCTAGGAAATACCTGAAGGGTTCTGAAGAACCTCCTTCTCATGCTTCCTCCTCCTTCGCTCCTTCGTCCTCCTCATCACCGCTAACATTCACTGGATGGTGCGATTCGGTCACAGCTCCACTGAAGTAGCGACCCACAAATGGTTTGAACCTGAAGCAAAAAGGTAGGAACCACGCGGATTAAGCCGAGACCTGCGGTCCCAGGGTCTCTTGGGTGGTCTTGGGGCGGTCTTGGGAGCCTCTTCGGCGCTCTTGGACCGTTGGAAGCTCGAAAACGCTAGCCAAAACATTGAAAACCTATGATAATCTACGATTTGGGCATCTTCGGGCCGTCCTAAGACGCCTCTCGGACCTCTCTTGGGGTCTCTTGGAGGCCACCTGGGAACCTGGAGAGCCGTCGGAAGGCTGACTTGGGCTGCTTGGGAGCGTCTTGGGCCATCCTTTCGCATTCTGGGGGCTCTTGGGGGGCGTCTTGGGCCCTCCTGGAGCGCTGTGGAGGCTCCCTGGAAAGACGAGGGGAGCGGTACCGGGAGCGCTCCCGAGATATAGCGGGGAGGTGTGGGACCCGGGGCAGGGGGGGAGCGGCATTCATGATTAGTATGATTATTATTATGAATAGTATTATTGTTCTTCCGATTCGTATTACTAATATTAATATTATTACTGCTATCTTTAATGCTAATATTATAAATGTGTATACACACAAACACACACACAAACACACACACACACACACAAAACTACACACACACACACGCACACACGCACGCACCACGCACGCACGCACGCACGCACGCACGCACGCACGCACGCACGCACGCACGCACACACACACACACACACACACACACACACACACACACACACACGCACACACACACACGCACACACACACACACACATTCACATTCACATTCACATTCACATTCACACACACACACACACTGTTTGTCCGTCGACGGCTAGGCAGAGTAACTGCGCTGGCGGAAGAGCTAACTAAACGAGGGCAAAACACACATCTGATCCAGGGTTCCGCCCCCCACCCCATCACACACAATGCTCATGGGATCGGTCCACGACCAACACCCGCTGGCTGGGCAGGCCCACGAGCCTCGCGAAGGCCTCGCGAATGTGAGCGGCCCCCTCCCCCCCCCCTGTGGTCGTGGCTCTGTGAAATAGGCGTGGTGGAGGGTGGGCGTCGTCGTCGTCGTCGTCGTCCCCACCATCCCATCTGAGGGGGAGGGGGCGGGCAAGGTGGGACCCTGAGGGCTGATCCCATCTGGGGGGGGGGGGCCTGTGAACCCTCGACCCGGGACCACCTGGAAGCATGACTGCCCGGAGCTCCGCGCAGACTCCAGCTTCTCGGATATCGGCGAACGGCGCCCCCAAACCTGGCGTGCCACGGGGCGGCGCCGGCTGCGCCGCCGGGGCGGGTCCGGCGCGGACCCAGGAAAAAATCCGCGCGGAGCTCCGAGAGCCTCTGCTGTTGCCGCTTCTTCTCCGTCCGGCTGAAGCGGCGGCTGCCGTTGGCGCTCGGCCGGGCGGCCGCGCGGGCCACGGACGGCGTCACGGGGGCGGTGAGCATCTCCACGCTGGCGGGGGTCTCCTGGTCGTCGCCATGAGACGACAGCGAGGATACGAGCTGCTGGATCGCCTCGAAGCTCTGGAGGAGCTCCACTGGGAGGTCCACCAGGATGCCCTCCAGCCGCACTCCGAGCAACCTCTTGCCGGCCCACACCATCACAATGTCTAGGCCCGGTATGTCAAGCAACTGGTGTTTCTCCACAAGCGAGCCGTCAAGCTCGCTGCGATACGCAAGCTGTATCGGTGGGCTGTCCTCGTCATTGTTGAATGGATCCGTCAAAGTGGACAGGTATGGATCGCTCTGAGATGATGGCCCCTCCTGGCTCGACCAACACGTCAACGGCGAAAAGGATGCCGCCACATCTCTGTTCTCGGCTCCAGGTTCTTTCCAAAAATTCGTGACCTCCATAGCGTGAGCGTGAAGACGCGGAAAATTGATCTTGACCTCATCACCGATGACGCCCTCCGCATCGGCCTGCACTAGCAGCCGGATCTCCAGGTCTTCGTTGCCCCTCCCGCCAGGAGCGGGCACCCACAAGCACAGCTCCTCGATCACGACTTTCGTCATGCGGCTCGCCACCCCGGACGAGACTGTGTGCACGTCCGACATGTTGGTGCCTAGAGAAGACCTCCCCCTCGTACCCAAATGGCCCCCCGAGAAGAAAGACTCCGCGCTGGGGCCATCGCCAGGGAAGAGGCTTGGCATCGAAAGTGAGCTGCCATGGACCGTGCTGGGACGGTCCTTCGAGAGGAAGCTGCCCTTCGAGAGGAAGCTGCCTCGCATGTTGCGCTCCAAGACGGGGCTATCGTTGGCGGAGAATTTGCGGTTGAACTTGCTGCTGAAGTTGTTTGTCCGCTTTCTGGCGCCCCCACCGCTGCCAGAGCTGTCAGTCTTGGTGAAGGCGAGAGACGACTGGGACTGGCCACCAAAGTGATGATGATCCGCTGAGCTGTTCGACCGGAGGTCTCTCTGTGTGCGATGCACCTGCTTCCGGACGATCTCGTGGCGCTGGATTACACTGAAGTCGTGCTGCGAATCAAAGGCGAGCACGTGCTTCATCCCGAAAGATGCGATCTGCAAAATGAGAGGAAAAATCTCGGAATCATACGGGGTTGTCTTACTAAACTGTCCTCTGTGACCGACCATTGGCATCGGCTCACCATCAAAGTCGTCGGTAAGTTTCAAAATCGCGCCGTCGCTGCATAGCTGAACTACGGTGCGCTTGGCAGGGACCAGCTTGATTCTCTCAAGATCGACATTGTTCGACCAACAATCCAAGTCCAGCTCCCAGACGGGACACTCCCATGCCACCCTCCAGTCTTGGACCTCTTCGTTCGAGGTCTGAAACGACGTGTACCAGTCTATCGGGTCTTTGAAATGACTGTGGTTGTACCACCAGCGGACACGGTTCGCGCTCTCGATCACGCACGAAATCCAGTCCTGATGAAAGCGCACCGCCGTCGGCGCCACTCGCAACTCAAGCTGACCACCTACGGCGTAGTGTAGAGACACAGTGTCAGCCCCATCGGGCGACTGCATCTGCAGGAACACGAGACGCTCTGAACTCGACTGTGGCAGTGGCCACCTCCACGAGACCTTGCGGCCGATGGACCCCCGCTTCTGGGCAGCGTCCTCTTAGAAGAAGAAAATCTGCACAAACCTAATAATCGGAGGTCCGCGCGGATTTCGTGGGCCAGTGCTGGACATACCTCCCTGGCGCGCGGAGCGCGACAGGGGGCGGCGGCGCAGGCGCTGCCAGGCGGGTCCAGCGCCGATCCAAGAAATCCGCGCGGAGTTCCGAAGCTTATGTTTGTGGCGGTTCTTCTTCTTCTTCGAGTCCTTCGGCGACAAATGCCAGGACCTCCTTTTGAGTATTGCTTCACCGATCCCCATCCCCAGCGGCGTGGCCTGGGCCCCACTGGCCGATCTACCCCCCTTAGATGGGGATATAGGTCGTACCCTTGGGGTTTCGAGGGGTGTATCCCCAACTGGGGGGGTAATTTGGTGGGGGTCTCGAAGGGGGTGGGGATGGGGATGGGGATGGGTTGAACGACACCGACCTTTCTCTGTGCGGCACGAGCTGGTGGAGCCCCAGTGCCGACCCTACGTGCAGGCGCACCACCCGCCGCGGCTGCTTCGAGGCCTGGTCGTCCGAGTCGATCGCGACGCGGACGTGCCGGACCGCCAGGGACACCAGGGCGCTTCGGGGATCGGCCTGGGGCTTATGTTGCTCCTATCGTACTTACAGACCACATCCCAGAAATGATTTCGGGAGAAGTGTCGAGCACCGGGAGAAGTGTCGAAAGGGTGTCGACACAGTGTCGAAGCAGTGTCGGACGAGTGTCTTCCAGGGCCCGACACGTGAAAACCCTCGAGTTTTTGAATACTCTCTGATGGTCGACATTCTTTCTGCTGATCAAGGCTAAAGTAGGTTGGAACATCATAACCTGGGGCCCCGTCAGCACGTGGAGGATGTCGCCAATCGCCTCCTGCAGAACAAGCAAAGGCGGCATGGCATGAACACGAACATTCGGAGCTCCGCGCAGATTTCTCGGATCTGCGCCGGACCCCCCCGCCTTGGCGGCGCCTTTGGCGCCGTCCCTGTCGCGCTCCGCGCGCCGAGGCGGGGGTCACGACGCCCATCCAAGAATTCCGCGCGCACCTCCGTGAGTTCATGCTATGCCGTTTATGTTGCTGTTTTTTCTTCTTCTTCTTCTCATTATTATTATTATTATTATTATTATTATTATTATTATTATTATTATTATTATTATCACTACTATTACTACTATTACTACTATTATTATGTTTCATATTTTTCTTGTTCTTATTATTCGTATTATGTTTCTTCTTCGTCGTACTATTATTATCATTATTATTATTATTAATCATTTTAATATTAGTATTATTATTATTATTATTGTTCGTCTGTTTTTTCTTCTTCTACTTCTTCTACATGCGAACCCTTCCACACCAACCCACCTCCCCCACGATTTCTAAGGGGAGGAGGTAGGGTTCGCATGTGGCTTCCGATGGTTGGTATTGGGAGAGCGTGATCCACCGCCGCTCTACAATTGAAATTCCCCCCCCTCTTCCTCCGGAACCCGGGGCCCCCCCCCCCCCTCAGAAAATCCCCCCCCTGCTGGAACCCCCCCCCCCCCTCCCCCGGCAAACCCCCCCCCCCTCCCCTAACACCCCCCCCTCCCCCTCGAAAACCGGGCGGGGTCACTACCGGTTCGAACCCCCCCCCTCGAAAACCAGAGGGGGGGTCACTACCGGTTCG